AAATGCTATCCTGACTAGACCATTAAATAGTAGTTGTCTTTTGATCATTTCTCACTTTGCCACTATGGGCAATATCAGACTTAGTTCCGCAAGATACAAAACTTCATATTCTCCATATCTTGGGCTCCTGCTCTAGAAGGTAGAGTTGATGCTTTAATAGCTGGGCGCGTGACATATTACTGCTTGAAGGTACGCAACGAAATTTTTGATCGGAACAGTTTCATGGAGTAAAAGGCAACAAAGTTTTGGATTGATGCAACTCACTTTCACTTTCACTTTAATATTGGGTGTAAAAGATAAGTCTAATCTTGAAGTCGAGATTTATATACGATTCGAACTCCGAGAACTTACAGAAATTCTTGCTTACATTTATACTGTTGGGACGTCTTGGCGTCAACATTGGGTTCCTATGCGCTCGAGAGTCAGCGAAAATTCGGCGTTTTTCTATAATAGATATATCGGATGTTGCAGCGGTTTCACGGTGTCTCGTGATTCCTGACTATAACTTGGGTGCAGTAGAACTTGAGACCAAATGCGTAACCTGCTCTACTCAAGGAGATAAATTCTTTGCAAAAATAAACTTCTGAATTCGCACTATAAACATCGCCATGGTTGGAAAGTGCTTTAGTATGTAGTCTATGCTTGTCTCCCAGGTAGAGAATGGATAGCTCGGACACAGGTGTTTATTGAGACATGAAATGACTGGTTCGAATCCGGCAAAACACAACCACATTTCTCGCAGCGCTAGTATACATGGATGACGAAGGCATGCTTGGACAATCAAAGGGTTTTAATTTCCCTTTGGTGGGTACTTCCGGATGAGGGCTGACTGTTTATGTCAGCAAACTTACCTTATATTGGTATTTGCGAGTGAGATGCAGAATGTGAGTGTTTCTGACGTCAAAGGAGTTATCCTATATGTATAGATAGCACGGATGCTGTATCATAGCTAGATAGCTGAATACGCATTAATGATTAAAAAAATGGCCCATCTCAACCTTCTTAGCCTCCTCTTTACTCCTCCCTTGATTCATGCCGCAGGACAAACCGAAGGTCGTGAAAGGATGTCAGAAAAGTCTTGGTCGAGAGTGACTGCCGTGAAGGAGCCTAGCCCAGCATCCAAAAGTCGTTACGGACGTGGGGTTTTCGAGTAGCTCATGTATTTCAGATGCCCTCCTGGCTAGTAGATTCGGAGGTATAGATTAGTAGGGACGATATCATTGACGAGTCGAAATCTGCTTTTCTTGAGGCCGGAAAGGTCTTTTACTTTGCTTTCTTGGGCTTTTTGTTCGGCCGCTGGTGGGTAGCATATTTTTTGTTATAACGAGGGCTTCTCTGACTACCGTTGTAGCGTTTAGTACCGCATTATCTCTCCTCATCCCCAGCATCATTATCGTCGTCTTGGTCGTCTTATGAGTTATCGGAAGTGTATCTTTGACGGAGGGTGAGATAACTCAGCTCAAAGTTGAATAGGTGTTACTCAATCTCGGCTCTACAGACTCTACAGTGAGAGCTGGAGGTTCGTAGGGGACACCACTGACAGGTGTTGAGAATAGTCCCCCACAAGGAAGGAAACCAATTCGGTAAAAATCCCCCAAAATTGTCTTTCTTATGTCTATTGGTTTTTCTGGGGTATCCTATTGGAAGTGCGTTTACACTGTTCATCCAGTGTGAATTACGTCCTATCCTTGTCCAGGTCGCGTCATCCTTTTTTGACTGCGATCTTAACTTCTTCTGCAAGCTGGAAGGGTTCAAACTCGCCGTTACTAAGTATCCACTCTGTAATTAACCTCATGTTATACAGGCTGTTAATCATAGCTTCAAGAGACCTATCCATTGTTGAAATTGGAGCTCCCAATTACGGTACAGACAGGGATGTGCAGAATATACGTCATTAATCTCCCATTAATTGTGAGGTTAATATTAATGCGCTTTGACGTAAATACCAACCACTAGATCTTGTTATTACAGAATATAGTTTGTATAACACTCTATGTCCTATTGGGAGTAATTAACAATTCTCCGCAACATATTTACAGACTCCCCTATTTTCCCACTTGCTTCACCAAGTGATCTATTCTGTGGGATGGCAGGACTGAACACCTGTATGCGGTGTCCTCTACGAACCTAGGAGTGACATATTCTCCCAGAGCTAAGTTCTGTCACACTTAGCAATATCAAAGAAGTTGGCCCTCGAGGCAATGATTCAAACTAATCCACCATGTCAATTTTTCACTCCCAACGAGTCCGAATCCTACCTAAGTCTCATCAAGTCTACAGGTACGATCGAGTACATCCTCATTCCAATGACCACACCTCTTGTCAACTTTCTCTAGCCTCAGCTGGTCGCCAGATACACGCCCACGCCGATATTTATACCCGACAGAGGAAATAAAGCGTGGCGCAAAAATCTGGGAGACAGTTCCTTGAGATGGAGGCGAGAGGGGTCAGGATAAGTTGACAAGATGATGCAGAGGATAGATACAATTTCGACGGGCGTTAAGTTTCGAATTTTGGCAAGGAGATTTTACAAATTGAGCTTTGTGCGTGGCAAGACTTCGGTTGCGAGAGTGCAGGCGACACTATAAAAGCCGCCATGGTTGGATGGTGCGGTGGTACATCGTCTTGGCCGGTCTGCCAAGTAGAGTCTGGATAGCTTGAACACATATCCCACACGAGACAGTAGATCGCTGGTTCAAATCCAGCAAAACACAACCACTTTTCTCGCGGCGCTGGTATACATGGATGACGAAGGCATGCTTGGATAATCAAAGGTCTTGAAACGTTCCTTTGGTGGGTACTTACGGAAGAGGGTCGACTGTTTGTGTAAGCAAGCATACCTCATAGTGGTATTTGCGAATGAAATCCAGAATATGAGTGTCTCTAACGTCAAAAGAGTCATCCAACATGTATACATAGCACCGGTCATGTGTAATAGCTATAAATAGCTGAATACACATTAAATGATCTAAAAAAAGATCTAATCTATGTCCAATAGCCACAAGCTTTTACAAACCAATCCGCTCAACATCTATTACCTATCTTAGTACCTCTCTTCTTCCCTGAATGCACCGAAGACAAGCCAAGACCATATTTTTCACGTTTTATGACGAATATCCACACTGGCATTTTGGATTCGCTAGTGCGGGTACCTCTCTTCAATCTAGATAAGAGATGAGGCCAATATGCTCACCTCTCCCTTTTATTTCAATACTGCTTTGGGCAGTCCTTAGGGTTCAGTGGATATTATAGGGTGTGTTTCTGTAGATGATTTTATTCCTACCTATTCTCTTGTCAGTGACGATACTTGCTACTTTCCAGTGTTCAGGGTCTGCCGACGCCCTATGAGAAGATAGTCGCTCTTAAAAAGTCTCCATGCGCTTTCCCATTCCCGGAGATTAACTTTAAATATCGCGATGCAGAATTAATAAAAAACCCACCATTCAACTTTTTCGTTTCACTATCTCTATTGAAGATCGCCCGGATATCTCTACACATCAACGTTCATCACAGCACAGCATCTGGATATTTAGCTACATCACCTGATTTATGGCACATTATCTTCACAATTATATATTCAGGCCATGATGAAAATAAATACGGTGTCGATGAGAAATTTGGCTCGGGTATGTAAACGCGATTTTTGAAAATAATGATATAGACATGAATCGGAAGTATATCCGGCAGAGTGTGAAAATAGAAATGCCTGATAGAATCGAGTAAAAGTAATTTATCTGTCTCGGTGATATCCAGACAGCTACTCTACAATTATTCTCAGTAATCCGATTCCAAATCAGTTACTATCTACCAGTCCTCGTTCCGTGCTCCAACCTTAAAAATGTTTCGCGCGATATTGTACAACTTCATATCAAAATGGAGTTGGTTGATCAAATTTTATTTTACTGGAACCACTGCATTGGGTTATTGAAGCAGCATCCAGTAGAAGGCCACTATTGGGAGAAATTTTATCAATTTCTAACCGTGTTTCAAGGATTTTGATGTGGTAATATTTCTACAGGGTACGCTATCAGATAGTGAGTGGATTAGAGATCAATCGACAATATCTGAGGCAAAAGCTTCACTGAGAGAAGTAGAAGAGCCAAAGGAAGTAATGCGGAGCTATGGTCTTCCCAAAGAAGAGGTGAGGTTTAGAAGTAATACTGTATTTATTTTCAAAAGATGTTGCGTGAGGTCTGAATATCATAGTGCTAAGCTTTCTTACATACCTAATTCAATCCAACTACCCATCATACTTTCCAAAATATCATAATTTTCATGATGTGATACTTTCTGTGATATCATTCTCTCCCCAACTCGAGGCTGTCGTATGCGATCTATTAAATGACGTCCTAACCACACAAGTAATTTTATTGCAATCTAGATGAAGTCATGACAAAGAAAATTACAGGATGTTACTTGACTCAAATTTGAAGTCCGAAGACAGTCCATCTTCATCTCTACTATCAATAACTCATCATGATCGTTAAATCTATGAAACCGTGACGAGATGCTACGCCAAATATAGTTAGACTGTAGAGTCGACGGATGCCCAGAAAACAAGTATCGCAAGAAAATTGTTGTCATAAAGCTGGTTGGGCGGAGGGTGTCGTGTCAGGGCTGCAAAAATTTTACTTGATGTTCTTGACTTCAATCATGTTTCTTTCTGGCCAAATAAAGCTAGCCTTAGTGGTCATAGTGAGTCTACCGGGACCATGTACTCGTGTCAAACCTCCTGAGTGTAGGGCTATAGCCTGATATACTAGCTTAATCGATTCAACTGCATCGTATTCTCTAGTCAAGTCTCGCACATTAAAATTGCTCAACATAGGAAATATCAACAGTCTTGATTATGAGACAATCCCTGTCACGGACGGGGATTTTTGTTGTTCTAATGCCAGAGAAATTTCAGCTAGACAGGATTTAAATTTCCAACAGATCATTATTAGATCTCCATGATTGGTCTTCATTAAACAGCGTTTTGACCTATTCTCAACGTTTAATTAACCCAATCCTGCCGATTTCCTTTGGTTAAAGAATTTGAAGATATTTTTTTGGGCGGGGTTATATGGTAGGTTTGAAGTGCCACCACGAGATTTTTTAAGACCACGCAAGTGTTCACAAAAATTTATCTCTAAAATATAGAGGTTTAATTTCAGACCTGTAGGCCCTTGCACTAGCTTGGAATCAATGGTTACTGGAATCGATGATTGCTTTCCGGAGCTAGTTTCATGATTATGTGGATTGTTGCTTGTAAATTCACAAGGTACCGAGTTTTGAGGGGTAGCAGCTAGACTAATTGGACGCTGCTTTATATCTAGTTCCATATATGCAGTATTAAACCATAGGCCTAGATTTTTAATTGAAGGAGCTCGTGGTGCGCCAGATTTCTGAACAAGGGATACGCACGCAGAAGGAAAGCGGCAAAGAAGGGACTTCCATAGATATTTGAGAAATATTCCATGAGATATAACTGCCACAGTATGCTCATCAGCAGTTTGATAGAATAATTTGAGGAGATGATCATTGATGAAAGCATTTGCTCGGGACTCAAGGGACTTTTTGGACTCCACCTCGCTCACAATATCTTCCCTGCCGACGACATTTGGATCTTGTCTTATGGATTTTTTCCCTTCAAAACTTCCAAAGTTTTGCTCTCGAATTAATTCTAGCTTTGTTGGTGGTAATGGTTGAGGATCCTGAAACTGGCGTATGGCTTCGGCCGTCAGATAGGCACGTTTAAGGTCGGAGCAGAAGATTTCTACAATCCGGAATCCTTTTTTAGATAGATGTGCGCCCAGTCGCTCAGCTTGAAGGTATCCATGACAGGTGAGAGCGGAATCGGTCACCCCAGCACTAGTGCGCAGTTAACTAGATATATCGACGCTACGCAAGGTATCTTACTAGACTCCTGCCACATTATCAACAGTTTCTCCGTGGCGAACGAGTAAGAGTCGCATGATATGATTTTCCTGGTCTTCTTGGAAACAATATTTCAAATGCAGAAACTATTTCTGCACAACATGTGCACCTTGGTGCCGAGATTGATAATAAGCGTGAGAAAACAGATTGTTGTAAGAATGTTGACTAGTTTAAGGTTTCATTGTTACCACTATGATCATGTTATCGCCTACTACGTACTCACCCAACCACACCGCCGTTAAAAGCTAAATATTCACCTTCCAACGGTGCGGGTGTAATCGTTCGTTGTGCCCTGTATGTCTAGGATAAACAAGAAGAATTTTATCCGCATCAAAGACGAAAGCAAACTTAGGCATATTTAGAGGAAGGTTACGATTGGACACCTGTCCGCTGCGCTCTAGGAACCTAGGATTGAAATATTTTCTCGGAGCCGAGTTCAGTCAACTTTCGCAAATCCAAAGAAGTTGGCCCATAACGTAGAAACTCAAGACTTTAACTAAAACTCTCCTTTCTAGTGGAATCTATTATCGCCAAAACCTCATCAAGTATACAAATATGACCTAGTGAATCCTCATTTCAATGACCACCCTTCTCATCAACCATTCTCTGGCCTCAACGAGCCACCAAACAAACACCCACTCAAGTACTCATAACCGCTGAAGGATCAAATTGTGACGCCCAAATCTGAGAGCTAGTTCTTCGAGATGGACGTGAGAGGGATCAGGACAAGTTCACCAAATGATGCTGAGGATGGATACAGTCTCGACGGGCGTGAAAGTTTGGCAAGAACTCATTACGAATTGAGCTTTGTGCGCGCCAAGAATTCGATTGCGAGTGCAGCTGACACTGTAAACACATGTCAACGATGGAAGGTGTTGTGGTCCACCTCCTGGTGGTGTTCTCTGGTATGGTTTGAGTAACCTTGGCACCTACTCCACTTGGAAAGGAGACATCTAAGATCATATCTCGCGCGGATAAATGTAAATAGATGATGGAGGTATGTCTGGATAACTCAGGGTTTTTGAGAAGTTCCCCTGCGTGCGTTTTCATGGATGAGGGTTGACTTGGGGTGAAGAAAATGCCACCATAACTTCGCAGAGGTACTTGCAAATGAAATCTGAGGCATGAGTGCTATTCCTTTACGTTGAATCATCTATTCTGAACTTTTCTTTGGTATTATGTCATAGCTAGATAGCTGCAAACGCAATTAAAATCTGATGCACATGCTAAGCATCTTTCAAGTTCAGATAAAATTTTCATATTTACTGACAGCCAAGCATCACTCCAAAGGATACAAAAAGGCTCTAACCAATTCTCTCACCAAATCCGCTGCAAAGGAAAAGGTGCTAATATTACACTTGCATGGTGCCCAGGCCACATGAAAATTGAAGGTAATGAGCTGGCTGACTCTCTAGCAAGAAGAGCTGCAAATAAAAATCCAATTAAAAAACATCTCTTTACAACACTCAGCTTTCTTAAACAAGAGTTGAGACTAACTATTAAGGATGCCTGGTCTCAAGACTGGACATCACAACTACAACGTGAAGAAGAAGGGAAAAGAGCAATAGGACTGGGCAAACTGTATAGGGCCCAGGCTAAATGCCACATACCCAACTTCAAATTCAAACCATTCAACATGATCAAATTTTCTCGAAAAACCCAGTCAGCATATATTCAAGCTAGGACAGGTATAGGGAGCCACCTAGCATATATGAATAAGATTGGGAAAAGCGATACTAATATCTGCAACTATTGCACAAAAAGTGTTCAAACAATTGAACATTTAATACTTCACTGTTCATTCTTCAAGAAACAGAGGAGGAAAGAGTTCAAAAACCTTTCACCATTTACACTTCCAATTATTTTCAACACAAATGTGGGGAAAACTTCGCTTCTAAAATATCTCTCAATAACTGGCTGCCTATCTTGGGGAAAGGTTGAGGAAGATAGAAATAAACCAACTGATTAAATATGGTTTACTTGTCAAGAATTTTCTTCCTATTGTAATATGCATAAAATGATGGTATGAGACAATGAGTGGGTTCAGAAGGATTTTTATGTATATAGTGTCATAGCTAGTTAGGCTGCATACACTTAATGATTAAAAAAAAGAAAAATCTGATGCAAAAAAAGTGGGACCGGGTCGGATCAGTTTGACTAGCGTGAAGTACATGAAAACCTCTATCTAAATGACCGACAATCTCAAGACTTTACCCTTTGTGGAGCATCTCAAAGTCAACCATTCAGAGAACACGATTTAAACACGCCGGAGCGCAATCACTCCTCCTCGTCAACCACAACGCGCCCGAGCCCTTGACACCCCCCTATTCTCTAATTTATCTTTTCCGTTCACTTCTAGTCATGTCTTATCCAAGCGTCTCTTCATCTCTTTCAGGTGCTGTTTTCTTCAATAGATGCCTCATCCAGCCGCCCACAAAGGCGCCCTCAGTCTTTCTAGCTTTTCTTCATCCATTGTAGCTTATACTTAAACCTTCCATATCGCCAATAATAACTTTATCGTCTGTCTATGTTACGTGTTTTACCCGGTAGTAGTGGCTGGGCTGACCTATGAGCCCAGCCCTACACCTGGATGGGATTCGACAATTATGTATGCCTGTTGCTCAACGCACGACGCTAAGTGCTTACATGAGCGGGTCATCAGGACGTACTTCATGAAAGTGTAGTCCCATTAGAAGTCTTCATTTTTTGCATCAAATTTTAATTTCGTATGCAACTATCTAGCTATGATACGATATCAGAGAATTGTATAACAGATGACTCAGTATAAAGGAAGAGCACTCACGCCTCGTATTTCATGTGCAAGTACCACTGCGAAGTTATGGTGGCATCTTCTTCACCCCAGGTCAACCCTCATCCGTGAATATCCACCCAAGGAAACTTCTCAAACCCCCTAAGTTGTCCAGACAAGCCTGTCATAGCTAGATATCTGCATATACATTAAATGTTTTTTAAAAAAAGAGGTAGCGTGACCTCGCAAGGTTTGAGCCGGCACGGTGTGCAAAATGCCATCTTTAAATTGCGACCGGGATTCTGGATGAGTAAGATATCGGTTACTGAATCCTTAGCGGATTGCCTAACAATATCTATAGTGTGAAGTTTCATCACGAAGGAATAGACCTTATGTGCAGATGTGGCCGAGAAAAACGCCCGTGGCATTTCTCTGAATGCCGGACAGCGCTAAATGAATGGCGGAAAACAACAAAGGAAACAGCACCAAGTATATGGACAACGTTGGGAGAAAAGGGATGAATAGCTCTATATAGATTTCTTACCGTAACAGGATGCTACGGGGTGCAAAGTAGGACATAAATGACCGATGAATTCTGGGATACATATAGTACAGGAAACTGCTATGAGATAGCTGGCTAGGCGCAGGGCGTTGAGTCAGGGCAGCAAAAGTTTTTGGTGAAATTTTTGTCTTTAGCAGATCATATAAATTTCTGGCCACATAAAGCTAGCATCAGTGATGTTTGTGGGTCCTCCCGGGAACACGCACCCGTGTCAAGCCTCCTGGATGTAGGGCTTTAGCCTGATACGTTAAATTATTCAATTCAATCTATAGTATGAAAATAATTACTATTTTGTAAGTGCGATGAGAGTTTTAAAATTATTGCATGATATGAATTCAGAGAGTTCCTAGCTCGAGTTGATAGATCAGTAAGAAAGTGGCAGAATTGTTAAATGACAAGGTGTGTCTAGCTGCTACAGGGGCAATCCGAGTCAGTCAGAGTCAAACACATGAGTCGCGTCAATTACGCTATTTATGCAGATCAGTCGCGTGGAGGAAAATTTGTACTTAGGAGTCTGGCTGTCTCAATCTTAGTATACTTTTAGTTATCTCGAATATCTGATTCTATCTGACCTCAATCCACTGCGCTAATTCCATCGTCTTCTACACGGTCATACTGCGATAGAAGTCCTCCCAATTAATAAGAATTATATTATTGTTAAATCTAGGGTGGTACATCTCAGTGGGAAAGCAACACTGAATACCCTTACTTTGATATGACTAAGCAGGTACATCTCATTTTAATTGAGTTCCTCACTTGATACTTAATTAGAAATGACATTTTCCTACACTTGCACGGAACTCGACTACTTGTGTGGATCGAGATACGTGTTACAATGTCAGCCACTATATTAAGGGCAGGTGTAGTGTGTTAACCATCCGACATCTGATTCAGGTCGTCAAGATACATACCTGCTGCTGACTAACGCCTTAGCATGGTCTAACTAATGTCATAAATTCCAATAGCAACCAGTGAGGTAAGAGCAAGTGTAGTGTATAAATCATCCAAACCATACATGTCCTACATAATCATAGACTCAGACAGGAAAATAAAATAAAATAATAATAAAAATCATACAACACATGATACAGATTGTGGGGATGAATGCCTGCTACTGGCTAACACCTGAGCATGATTTAACTGACGTCACAAACTCCAGCATATAGCAGAGTCTCCTTTAAACTTGGTACAAAAAATGTGGTTATTGCTGCCGTGTTGTGAGGCTAGATAAGGCTGTGGTCCCTCAGTGATATTTTAAAATGTTTAAAGGAACATTTAAACCATTCGCCTGGGTGGCTCTCTAATAAGCTTCAACTTCTCTATTCAAAAAGTTTTTTTATTAATCATGTACGCGTATTAACGAGAGATGAACTTTCTTGAGCTGCACAGTGTTGCCATGCATATGCATCGACGGTAGATTGTGGAACTTGGCAGTAGATACACCATGGGATGAACTGTCTGCATACAAGAGCCTTGTTTTCGATGGAGCTACGTCGTATTTACCATTCAGCTCGCGAGCCAGTCTTTGTAGGATGGTGCCCCAATGATTAGTTGTATTGAGCGGGTTTCTACTTGCACTACAATTCCTAAAACCAGCCGCTTTCTCCCAACAATCAATCCCCGGAATTTAGTTTTCCCATTCTAAAATTCAATACTCAGTCAGTGGATAGTCTTGTAATTCTCGTGACAAAAGCGCAAGTTGAGGTCGGTTTAACGCAAGTTTTACAGGCCACTTTGTCGATCATCTTCTCAGATGCGAGTGTTATTGGCCCTGCGACAGTATATTGCCAGTCGAGGATATTAGGTGCCAATACCAAGATCCAATTAGAAGCGGCTTCCAACTTGATTTCCCAACTGTCTAGAATAGCAGAGACCGCTTAGGGTTGTTTACCTGCTAATATTATTTAAAATCAAAAAGGGAGACATTAGTCTTCACAGGTGATTAGGCTTAAGCCGTAAGGATGCGCGCTCGTAGGATTGAACTGAGTCGAGAGCTGAAGCTTTCGACTAATTCATGGGTATGGGCCTCAACACTTTCATTTCGGGGGCTGTCGTTGTTATGCTTGCATACTTGTTCACTCGTCTCATAAAATCTAAACTTTCTGACTTACTATCTTCATTATCAAAAAATATTCTCTTCATCAAGGAGACGGTGTATAAATGATTTTAATTGGTGGATTGCCAATTACAATTGAGTTTGTAAAATAAGGTTGCTGTTAAATTGATATCTTATATCATCGATGTTAAGATCGGACAGCGAGAAATGATATGGGATTAAATTATTATTATCATTAAGTTTTATGAGCATTCTAAAGAGGTTCATCGCATAGAGCTCGCTAGTGTTGAAGAAGAGTCAAATGAGGACTCAGCGATGAGGGTAAGAGGATTAGTTACAAGTAGGCCCAGAAAACTTTACGGCTTTCATAAAGATCATAGTTACCATGAATATGTCCCGTAACAAATCCATTATTTGAATGAGCCTGATAAATAACTCCGTAATAATTTTAGCTGTTTACCGAATCGATAACCTCTTCAGATCTTAGGAATTCATGTTCGAGAGCTTCTTGAGCACTGATTCTTTTGCTTGGATCGAGTTCAAGGCATTTCTCGAGGAAGTCAATGGCAAGCCGTTCACCTTGGTTTAGAGGATTTTCCAGCTTACCGTCGACACTATGATTCCTGCACGTGCTCCACAGAATAATTTTCTCGAGGGAAAATCCCTGAGTGCCTATAGTTGGAATATTGGTTTGGAACACAGTTCCATGGAGAAGAGCGCATTGCTTCATGCGTTTCACCCCAAATATTGTTGCAATTTCTATCATGGCTTCCACATCATCGGCGCTATTGAAGAATGGAAAACGTCGAGAAAGTATGGTAAGAAGTATGACACCGGCTGACCAAATATCGATTTTAGTTGTCTGATTTGTGCACTTTAATAGGACCTCCGGAGCTCGAAATCCTCGGGTACCAGCGCGATTAGCCCGCCTGGAGGGCCGAGGATCATTTTTGAGGTAACCATTTGTTGATCCTACAGCGGCAGTCACACTGTGTGTGATTCGTCGACGCCTCTCTAACTGGGGCTCCGTACAAAGACATGATTTCGAGTCAATTCCTTGTCTTTCGGCTAGACCAAAGTCAACTAAAACACCTTTTCTCTTTGTGGGTTGATATAAGAAGTTGGTTGGCTTGATGTCACGATGTATTATATTCTTTTCGTGCACTGTAGCTAGAGCTTTGAAGAGCGAACGGAAATAAATTTGCATGTCTGACACCGTCATATCGCGAAAATAATTTCGGAAGTCGGTGTGCCGAAAGTAGGGCAGTACAGCGACGACCTGATCGGTATCTCTAAACGCTGTGATCAGAGGACAGACAGAGTCACAATGACTTAGGTCGGTGAGTAGTTCTAGTTCGTTAAGAATGCGACTAGGACTGCTGGTGACGTATATTTTTTTGATGGCAACAAATCTTGGCTTCGATCTGGGCAAATAGCCGCTTGTGCAATCGGGAGTTGTTGAATTTATACGACGCTTCTTTGAGGGTGGTGAATCATATTTTGCGTCATCTCGTTCTTGTTTGTCCCAAGAATTTTCATACTTGTCGTAAAGAAGATCCTGCGCTTTGTAAACAGTCGAAAAAGTCCCTATGACGTATTAACGTACATATTTGCGTTTGTGGGACTATTTGAGGCTAGAAATTACCCTCTCCAATCCGACTAATAAGCCGAAACCGTTCACTTATTCCTCGAATTGTTTCCTGGAATCTTTCCATGTCTTCACGGACCCCAGGATCCATCGATATTTCACTTTGTTCGCAATCAGAGTAAGATCGACTAACTTTGTCTTCATATTTTGATTTATCGAGTCTTTGATCACTTTGAGACTCGTTGTCAGGCTCTTTATCTTTGTTGTTACAGATAGATTTAACTATATCTGGAGGCTGGTTAGAGGCCATGCTGGATAGGAACCTTAAGTGAGAATAATTCCAGGTGTATTGACCTCCTTGTTGGACGATGATGATTGGTGGATAGCGTAAGAGGGTGGCTTGGGGGCGCAACTAGCTACAGCCCTGATAGCCACCGGGCCAACGAAAGACAACAACATTTAAATAAGTACATGTCTCTATCGCGAATTTTTAAAGTCGATGTTACAGATCTGTCCGTCAACATTGGTACTTCGCCATGGACAATATAGAATTCGATATAAACTGTGCTCTCAAGCACTACATGAGCGATCCAGCCTCAATCGCTACGCCAGAGGCAGACTCTAATCTTCTTGATTGCGATAAAGATCCAGAACTGTTAACAGATTCTCTTGTCAACTCAATTTTAGACTCGATAGTGGACGCCGTTGCTGGGAACCCAGAGGCTATTATCAGGCGCTACTTGTTTGACTCATTACAATTTCTCTTAAAGTATGCACACCCCATCCATATTTAGATCTGACATATCTATGATACCAATTTCTAAGCTATTAATTATCCAGATCCTCTTCTATTCTATCCATAAACGTACTAAGTAAGATTCTCGATCTTATCGTTTCCGCTCTTTCTATCCAAGTCGATAATGTTCACAGTGACCTCGAGAGCGATGAGCAAGAAGTTTTGGCCAACCACAAGCAGCTCCTCGAAGTGTTGAGTTTTCTTTTACAATGGGCAATATCCACAGTGGAAACAAAGATAACAGAAAAGTCCACAACTGCCCCAGCTGTACGAGTCCGAGGCAAGTCAACCAAAGTTAAGGCAGGTGGGAAAAGCCATGGCAGTGCCTGGGATCCAACTACACAATTGCAAACAGCCTTAGATACTATTTGCAAAACTTTGAAACTGAAACTATCTAAAATATTTTTGACCACCTCAGAACGAGACACTCTAATTGGTTTACTAACTAGACCAGTTTATATGGTACTAGAGAGTGAGCAAAGAACTAAGAATACAACAATACGAATGCACGCATTTAAAGTCTTGTGTACAGCAATCAAACACCATGGTCATGGTTATGGTAAAATTTCACCTAGAAGCTATGCATCACATGGTTGACTGACTAGTGCTTAGCCGCACAAATATCTATAATTCAAAACCTCACATACTTTGAGCACTTAGCAGAACCGATGGCTGAATTTCTTCACATATTATCGGAACAGTATGATTATCCACAGCTCACAGACGAGATTCTCCGCGAATTGAGTAATAAAGAGTACAATAGCAACGACACCAAGGGCCCTAAGTCAGTCTCATCCTTCATGGTAAAGCTCTCAGAGCTAGTTCCAAGGAATGTTCTCAAACAAATGACATTATTAGCCAAACAACTCGACAGTGAATCATACACTCTTAGATGTGCGCTTATCGAAGTTTGTGGAAACCTTATAGTAGAACTAAGTCGCCAAGAGGAACGTAACGAAAACCACAAGACGCAGCTGAACGCTTTTTTTGATGTCCTGGAAGAACGCTTCTTAGATTTAAATCCCTACTGCCGCTGTCGAACAATTCAAGTTTATATAAAGCTCTGTGATCTTGAACAGAAGTTCCCTAAACGACGACAAAGAGTAGCGGAACTAGCTGCTAGGAGCCTCGGAGATAAAAGTAGTAATGTTCGTCGGAATTCGATCAAGCTTCTTAGGTCTCTCATCAAAACTCATCCCTTCAGTATTATGCATGGATCTCAACTTTCGATGAAGGAATGGACAGCTAGACTTCAGGAAATTGATGCAGAATTAAATGAATTGAATCCTCCAACGGAAACGATAGGCTTTGGAGAGAAAGAACAAGTTGATCAGGATCTACTAGATGATGCAACTGTTGTCGAGTCAGAAAGTTCTCAGAAGATTGGAAAAGAAGAAACATTGACTGATCCGCCAGAAAATTCCAAGGAAACTTCTGCAAAATTAGAAACTATAAAAAGACTAACACTGACACGAAGATATTACGCAGAAGCACTAAAATTTATTAAGGTCTTGCACGATGCTACACCTACAATCTGCCAACTTTTGGGATCCAAGAACAAAAGCGAAGTAATAGAAGCTATGGACTATTTTGAAATCGGTGATGCCTATAACATCGAACAGAATAAGCTCGGCATTCGTAGAATGCTACGACTCATCTGGACGAAAGGAAATAGTGACGAAGGCAAGGCAGTACAGAACCACCTCATTGAATGCTACAACCGCCTATTTTTCGAGGCACCCGATGTCTACAGCAGCAATGACGCTGCAAACTATATTGCGAGGAATATGATTAGCTTGACTTTTGGTGCGACACCAGCAGAGCTGACGTCACTAGAGCAACTTCTCAATAACATGATGGATTCAAACTATATTTCAGATCTCGTCATCTCAAAACTCTGGCAAGTTTATGGCGTTGATAAAAGAGAGATCTCAAGGAGTCAACGAAGAGGCTCTATTATTGTTCTTGGAATGCTTGCAAGAGCCAAACCAGAAATTGTTATCGGAGAAATAGAAACAATGCTCCGAATAGGTCTCGGGAGATTGGGATGGGCAGACTTTAATTTATCAAAGTATACCTGTATAGCACTCGGCAGGATTAATTCTACGGAAAGGAAAACGAAGGTTGAAAGAGCTCAATTTGCCAAGCTTTCTAATGACCACTTAGTCCTTCAAAGGCTTGCAGCTATGGTTGCTATCGAAACAGATAATAAAGAGTGGTACGGGGTTGCTGAACAGGCACTGAATGCCATCTACGCCCTCTCTCAACATCCAGACACCTTATGCTCAGAAATCTTGCGGAAAAAGTCCTATTCTGTATTCCAACGACGCGAGACTCAGACTCAGCAATACAATAAAGACACAAACGCGTCAAGGCTTTTAACACCTCCACCTGAAGAACCTGAGGATCCGGAAATTCCTGAAAATAGAGTCAAGGGATCAGTCGTTCTCTCGCAATTACTTTTTATTGTTGGCCACATCGCTATCAAACAGATAGTGTACCTTGAACTTTGCGAGCTTCACTTCAAACGAGTCAAGGCTGAAGCTGAAAAAATTAAGGTTCCAGCAGCAGAGTCAGCAAACCAGAGTACTATGGACGCTTCGGATGACCTAGATCTAATTGGTGGCACGACAGAAGATGACTTCACTGAAGCAATTGCGCATATCCGCGAGCGGGAGCTGCTTTATGGTGATAAGTCTTTACTTGCAAACTTTGGGCCCCTAGCCACTGAGATTTGCTCTAATATCATGACTTATCGAGATCAAAACCTACAGGCTGCTGCTACACTCTGCCTAGCCAAGTTAATGTGTGTTAGCTCTGAGTATTGTGAATCAAACTTACCATTACTAATCACTATCCTCGAACGTTCCGAAAACCCGATTATTCGGTCGAATGCGGTTGTTGCGCTAGGTGATATAGCGGTTTGCTTCAACCATTTAATCGACGAAAATACAGATTTTCTTTATCGAAGGCTGAGCGACAAAGATGCAAGCGTGAAAAGAACTTGTTTAATGACACTAACTTTTCTTATTTTGGCAGGTCAAGTCAAGGTTAAAGGACAACTAGGGGAGATGGCAAAATGTCTCGAAGATGGTGACAAGAGAATTGCCGACTTGAGCCGCATGTTTTTTACTGAGCTCAGCACCAAAGATAATGCCGTTTACAATCACTTTATCGATATGTTCAGCTTGCTAAGCGCTGAAAAGAACCTTGAAGAAGATGCCATGCGGAGGATCACAAAATTCTTAACCGGCTTTATCGAGAAGGTACTTCATGATAATAAACTTGATCTAGCTTGGAATTTATCTAACGAGATTCAGGATAAACATGCCAAACAGCTAGCTGACAAACTAGCTGCTCGTCTCGCAAGATGTGAGACTGAGAGGCAGTGGAACGACGTCGCTTACGCATTGAGCTTATTGCAACACAAAAATGAGGATATAAACAAGCAGATTTCAGGGGGTTTCAAAATGGTACAGGCGACTAGTTGACATCCCTGTGTTGTTCGGCCACGGCTTATATACTAATCTTAATTATTGCTTACGACTATATCATTTTAATCCTACAACCAGTGCCAGCTGACAAAACCTTGGCAGAAGCTCTACCCAAAAAGAAACCATGTGTTTAAATGGAACAGAATACTTAAAAATGACAAATGATTGTGTAGGTCGCTTGCCAACATGCGCTCCTAAATTGAAGGGTGTAAAACACAACCTTCATCCGAATCACAAAGGAAGTCATCATGCTTCAAACTTATCCCTTGAATCTATTACATGAAATGTCTCAAAGCTGATACTAGACCTTCACCGCACAACATTTGAGGGGGGAATTTGATCACTCCAAGTCCTTTTTATAGAAACTAGCAATAAACATCCCATGTTTCGTCAGGAAGGATATCAATCCCATGTAAATATTATCCGCACAATTTTACTCAAGAATCTTAGATCATTCTTTCTAAGATTTTAACAAAATAATATCAAGGATCTTTCACAACGAGAGCTTCCTTACGAACCTAGCGTGCCGCACACAGCTCCCGCTTACTGTAATCTCAAAAATTATGGTTTTTTACGGAATCTTCCCTCCACGAACTGGGCCTACTTTACTCTCTAGGCTTCTAGGAAATCAAAATCAGTGAGATTTGAATGGCGAATTTTAGGATGCACCATAATGGTTGGATAATTAAGTACGGCGCAGATCAGTTCAAGTAGATGCGACACAAATTAGTTGCATATTACACAATGGATTAGTAATTAGGAATGCCAAAGTAAGCGTCGGATGGTTCACAAATAGATACAGTTTTAAATAGACTAAGATTCTAGATTTATTAACTATTGTCGAATATTTATGCGACAGTGGACTTTTGAGTATACTTCGTACTTTCTATTAATTTAGCTTCAAATGAATATGTGCTCTCGAAATTAGTTTCTTTACAATAAGATTCTATATATAATTATCGTTACGGTTATCGTAGTTGTTAAAATCATATTTCATGTAGTTTTTGTTTTGTCTATTATTACACGTCGTGCTAGCGCACATCACGTTTCACAAGGTCACTAGCCGGTTAGCTCAGTCTAGAAAAAATACCCGACGTGCCGACGCACCTAATATCCCATTCCACCTACGATATTTTATTGCCACACTTATTTCTCAATCAATCATGCCGCCCCAGTCCTCCGCAGAGGTTGGCCCCTGGCCACCCCTCCCTACTCTATGTTCGACGCGTCAAGACGTCGAAATGGTCCTAAACGGGCCACAACATCCATCTATTTGACCCACACAACAATTCGTAGAGCCAATCTACGAGGCGAGTCACCAAAACTCACCCATCAACTCAACTCCGTCGCCTCAAATTGTCGCGACCGAATTTCTCGCCGAACAGGGCAGGATATTCCAGACGCGCTCTGCACAAGCGGAGCGCTTTATCATCGGGTTCTGCAAGCTGCTGGAACCAGTCACTGACGAGAGACTTCGGAAACTCTTTGATCAGGACTTATTGGCTCTTCAGGGCAAGATCTTGGAAATTTTGTGGGGCAACCCATCTCAAGTTGACGCCTACGCCCCCAAAAAGACTGCAAGCGGCCATACCAACCCACCCAATCCGGTTCAAGCTACAGAGCCTCCTAAACAAAGTGTGATGGTATTTAAGTCTCACATGACTTGGTCATGTGACAATCTTGTAATTATTTATAGCCTTCATAGTTCATAATAAAACTTCATGCTTTGATCACAACAGGTTATGGCCCTTTAGTCGCTTCCACTTCGTTCTCAGCTTCCGTTTCTTAATCAACGACATCGATTAAGGTGCTCTCGTATTCATCTAAATATATTATCCGATAGCAACTCTCGCACATCTTCACGATGTCTGACTCCTTTAAGGCCCCGACTACTGAGGGAAAACATCCCCTCAAATATGATAATTCTCCTTCCGATGAATTAAATGATATTATCATTTGTGGTCTCACATTCGCTACAGCGGATGACTTGAAAGAATCGAACAAAGAGTCTCAGAGAAAGACAGAAATCTGGACGCTAACTGACCGATTACAAAGCATTGACAAGATGACACCACTTCCTTGTCTTAAGAAAAACAATCGGCTTCGATGGTTTGAATCCGTCGAAAATCTGATTTTTTTATCCCAAACCTCTGCGGCATTCCTTCCTCAAATATCTCAAAATAAAGCCATTCGAATGTGGTCAACGTGGTGGGTCGCTAAACTTCGTGAGACGGCCCCTCACATTAGAACAGCACCTTGTGATAACCCTCGAGCTATCCTGAATGAAATCGTTACATCTTCTCAAGCTGCTTCATTTTCAAACGTAAACTCCATTGTTTCTCGATTTTGGACTTATCAACCTGAAAAGAACACTAATTTACAAAGCTTTATGAAAGAGTATCAAAAGCGATATCAGGATTTAAGGGAACATTTTCAGATTACGACAGAATTTCACTCTCAGATGCACCATCTCTTACTCTTTCACGTTAGAAACCTCCAGCCTGATCTGTTACGGTTTGACCGTTGTTTGAGCTTAGGTGGATACCTAAGCCTGTTACTAAGAATTCTTACTATGAGGCTGTATGAGGGGGAGATGAAGCTGAACGAAACGGGACTACTACTCAGGAGGCTGAAGCGTTATTACAATTTAGTGACACCTGGAAACACGTGGCTGGGTAAGAAGTATTGTGCCTAAGGACAAGTCACTAGTCTGTAGATTCATGAGGAGGATTAACTCCTATAAATACCTGTTAGTAGTAGCTAGAGTTAGCTTTTCTCCTCATATAGTTTATTAAATCGATTTATTCATCACCAACTCGGTCTCCGTCACAATATAAACTATATCATTCAAATCCTTTGCCCGTCATTAAGTACATCGCAGTCGTAGATAACTGTGACTTAGGGCATCTTTAATTATTGGTTTCAACGCACAGGGATTCTAAGAATCAACAATGGGTTCAGAAATGAACAATTTTACTATCGGAACGGACTTTGTGGCAACTGGTTTATCGAACCAGAAATCTATGCCACACGGAGAAATACAATCGGAAATGCAGCGACTGGTCGAAGAAATGAGATTAAGAGAAATGGAACACAGAAGAGACCTTGGTATTCTACGATCTCAGATGAACGAAATGATGAAAACGATGCAGGAACGATCGGAGAATGAGAAAAAAACTCCCCTGCAACCGTCAAGAACTAACGTGGGAGGCCAATCAGAACGCAGAGAATGCTTCATTGAAGAAGAACCACTTAAATGGCCAGAAGCATACGATCACAAGGATAGAACTAAGTGGGCAATTACACATGGAATTCTTAGGTACATATACAGGCGTGACGTAGAGGAGCGGAATATTCTTCAACCGTCTGACTTTTTAATTCAACTATTTAGTCATGCAGTAACTGGAACAGCGAAAGATATGATCATAGGTCAGTTTCAGAGTATGCTTGCAAATGGCATGGAATGGGATGCGCTAGGGCTGTTACAGGCAATGAATGATACCTACCGCGACAGAAATGAGGAACAATTGGCGGCCGCACTATTTCATGCATGTCGACAATTTCGGGACGAGAACCTATCGTCCTATCTACCGCGCTTCCAGCAGTTACTCTCGCGAAGTCCCAGTTCGAAAGGGAATGAGAAATGCAAGATATACCAGTTACGAAACTCTTTGAATAAGACGACTAGAAATTACATGATTGGTAGTCTGTGCCCTAGAACACTCCGAGAATTAATTGATTACCTGTCGATCCTGGGTTCTGAAATTGACGAGGTTGGTATAGAAATGACAAGGGAATACCTGCTAGGTCAGACTGGCTACTTCGACGACGGAACACGAGGCGTTGCTGGGGGTAGATTACTAGGGGAGGTCTCACAAGAAATAACGCACCACCTTCCAGCCAAAGCCAACTTACACATTAAGGATATGGACAGCAATACAAGGACGATCGGTGTTGATAAAGTCCGTGCGAAGTGGGTTTCACGTGTTGAGTTGAACCAGCGCAAAATAGATGGGTCGTGCTTGCGATGTGGAAAGATTGGCTACGTTATAGCTAACTGTCGACTACTTCCAGCTAAGAATTCTGAAACTTCTACCAAAGTAGCAACATTCGCCGAACGTATTGTAGATACAGCCAAGGCCAAAGTTCCGAAGAACGTGGTATCTAAAAGATCAGCTCCCGAATCAAGTTGTCCCCAAATGCAAGAAAATGAAACTATGACAATGGCTGCTAGCTCGAGATCAACTGGAGATAAAGAAGCTGAAAGCGCTATGAACGGATCTTCGTTTATCATAGACACTGTGATCAACGGAATTTATTCAGTATCCACTTTGATCGACAATGGATGCGAATGTCTAGCCGCTGTTAGTAATTCATTAGTACAAAAGGCTAACCTGCCTCGGATAAAAATAAGTCCGCGCATACTCACAGAGGCAACAAAAAGTCAGCACCATGAAGATTTTATCACGGAAATGGTTAGAATGGAGCTAGACATTGATGGGTATCAACGGAGGTTATATGCGTATGTTATACCAATGTTGTCTCGTAATCTCATATTGGGAAAACCATGGATGGAGCGGGAAGACGTTATTTACAATGCAAGGGAACGCTTCATGGACATTGGAGAAGCTATTGTGAACAATCGACCAATGAGAGTATAGGAAAAGGGCCACCAAGCAATGATGGATTCATCTTATTGAACATCAAATACTAAAAGTTTATTGGCAGGGGTATTCCTTGCAACTGTCAGGAATGCCAGGAAGTCAAGCGCTGGCAAAACCCAGCTATTTTCTGTAACGCTGGCAGACATTCAAAAAGCGCTTGCGCCAACAAAGAGGTCACCAACGAATTTGGATAGACTCCCAAACTACTGTAAAAAATTTGCAGATCTATTTCGGAAAGAGCTAACAGACAAGCTGCCACCTCATCGGCAAGGATGTGATCACGAGATAAGGCTTGAGTCTGACAAAAAAATACCGTGGGGACCCCTGTATGGA